TACCCTGTTTGTTCCTATGCCCATGTCCTCTAACTGAACTTTCCCCGTACTTTTCAGGCCTTGCTCAAAATGGCGTTAGGTTAAGCAAGTATGCTGGTGTCTTTCAATTCCTGTTTGGTTCTAGAATAAATTCTCTCTTCTCCTCCCAGAGGTGACAGCTACATTGTCTGAACCCTGCTCCCCTTAGTTTCTCCCTGATTATCTGCCTTGCTTACTTCAGGCACCAGCAACACACACCAAAGAAGCAGCCTCATGTACCCTGGTATCTACTCTGTAGAATCACATAAATTCTTGGATGCGGGGAGGACACACAATGGACAGGTACAGGGGCTGGGGAGGATATACAAGTGTAAGATGCAACTTTTGGATAGGCAGGAGCCCTGATTGATAAGCTTTGCTAGTTTTCTGGTATAGATGTTCCCACCGCATTTTAAGCTATCACTGAGGAGGGAGAGGAGAGAAATGTTAACGAAGGCTTAGCTGCTGTAAGCTGGTTCCAGCACAGCACTGTGCATACTACCTAGGAGCTTGGTTTTGTTTGTTGGTTTTGTTTTTTTGAGTTGGGTTTCTTTGTGTGGCTCTGGCTGTCCTGGAACTCTCTCTGTTCACCACGCTGGCCTCAAACTCAGAGATTTGCCTGCCTCTGCCTCCCAAGTGCTGGAATGAGAAAGGCCTTGCCACCACACCTGGCTTTTTTCTTTCTTTCTTTCTTTCTTTCTTTCTTTCTTTCTTTCTTTCTTTCTTTCTTTCTTTCTTTCCTTCCTTCCTTCCTTCCTTCCTTCTTTCTTTCTTTTTTTCTTTCTTTCCTTCCTTCCTTCCTTCCTTCCTTCTTTCTTTCTTTCTTTAGATTTGTTTCTTATGTATACAGGGTTCTATCTGCATGTTTGCCTGCAGGCCAAAAGAGGGCACCAGATCTCATTATAGATGGTCGTGAGCTGCCATGTAGTTGCTGGGAATTGAACTCAGGATCTCCGGAAGACCAATCAATGCTCTTAACCTCTGGAGCATCTCTCTAGACCCCCACTGGGCTTGCTTTAAATACACTTTAGTTACCCATTTCCTGCCCTTAGATGTCAACCCTTCTGTGGCAAGGGTGCTTGCCTGTTTTAATCCTGGCACTTGAGAGCTGACTCACAGAATTAATGAATCAGTGTAAGCAAGCAGAGAACCTGCAGCTGGCCAGTCCCCTGGTTGTGTTGAACAAGTCTTGTAGAGTACGTATCACAGGTTAGATACTTTGTTAGCTGCTAAGGTACATGAAAAGAACAAGGCTTGCTTGTTAACCTGGCAGGATGCAGTGAGATAGGAGGAAAATCAGTTTCAGGAAAACCAGGGGTAGCAAAGATTTTCAAGACTGGGGAATGAAAGGGTATATGGCAGTGGTTTGGTCGGCAACAGAAGAGTGTGGAAGAATCACGAGCCATGGTTACCAGAGTTAGAATGGGCTTTATTAGAGAGAAGAGGTGATAGGACAGAGAGAAAGACGCAGAGAAAGAGAGAGACAGAGAGAGACTGAGCGCAGAGAGAGAGAGCGTGGGGGTGCACGTCCGGCTTTTAGGCTGGAACGCAGCAGTCACCTGCTGATGACGTAATAAGGTGCCAGAGGAGAACCCCCCCCCCAGCTGGGCATATACAGAATCCTTACAGGGAAACATCCCACAGCTTGCTCCAAAGTCGGAAAGATAATGCGTGTGCACAAAAGGGTTGAAGAGAGCCCTCTTTACGGGACAGTTCAATTACAGGCGATTTTTCCCCCTGGTCACTTGGCTGGCTGCTACACTGCCAGAGCATGTTGGCTGTCGGTCATGTTTTTTTGACGCCATGCAATGAAATCCATTTGTCTTCTGTGGGGCATACATGGGCTACAAAGAGGGTGCTGAGAGAAAGTTAGACAAATAGAGCTTAAGCTTTAAGCTGTTTTCCATGAGAGTAGACACAAATGGTGCTAGAGGAAGTTAGTTTAAGCTTTTTACGCAGAAAGTAGACACAAAGGATGGTGAGAAAGGAAGTTAGCTCAAGTTATTTACGCTGAGATAAGATACTAAAAACAGGAGATGATGTCAGTGCATAAACAATTTGTAAATAGGATGACCTTTAAAGTGATTGGTTGCTTTTTTCACCCCCTCCTAGGGTTCCGAGGTTTTTGTTATAAAGGAGGCTTACTGCCTAACAATAAACGAGTTGACTTGACTCCCCACTGGGTCTGATTGTGTCCAGGTAAGAGGGAGGCTGGGGAAAGGGCACACTCACCTTTCCTTGGTTCCGGGCCACCTCTTCACAGGTGACCTAAGTTCCCGGTGGGGCAGGACCCCACAGTTTTCATTACAGTGACTCCTCTCCTTTTTATGAGACAGGTCTCTCTATGTAGTTCAGGCTGACTTTAATCTTACCATCCTCCTGCCTCAGCCTCCCCTTGCTGGGGTTACAGATGTGTACCCCCACACTGGCAGTAGCCATTCTTGTGTTGGAATTGGAGAGGACAGGGTTGTTGTTGATACCCTTTGTCCCTGCAGAAAACGTTTGTATGTCATTTGCATGAAAAGGGTTAATAGAAAGGTATCTAAGGACCTTGAACAACTCAGTAGCAAGAAGGTAGCCTGAGGATGGACAAAGGCTCTGGTAGACATTGTTTAAAAGACGTTGTCGCGCTCTTCCGAAGCTCGAGTCCCTCTTGGTACAGTGCTGCAGCAGCAGGAGCCTGAGCAGCTGGCTGGTCACACTGTAACCATGGAGCACCAGTCAGCCTTTAAAAAGAAGGAAATCCAAGCAGGGCATAGGGGCACATGCCTTTAATTCTGGCATTTGGGAGGCAGAGGCAGGTGGATCTCTGTGAGTTCAAGGCCAGCCAGAGAGACATAGTGAGACTCTGTCTTGAAAAACAAAACAAAACAAAGAAACAAAACTCTGAAAGGAAATCCTAGTATTTGAAAAATCAGATGTGAACTTATAGGGATTACAAATGCCACCCAATTTCACTTTATGTGTGGAACAAAAAAAGCTGAACTCTTAGAAGTGGAGAGTAAAGCCCAAGTAAAGACTGCACAGCAAACTTCAGCACCCCACTTCCTCCACCTACGCATTCTCCCATCTGGTCCTGTGTTATGGAGTCTCCAATCCTGAGCCTTTGACAGTCCACATTACCTCTACCCCTCATTTACTTCCTACGAGCACAAAGGAAGGCCACCTAACTACAGATTCCTTCCTTGACCATCCTTGTAAAGCACATTTAAAATGTGTTTATTGATTGATTGTTATATGGACAACTTGGAAGAGTCAGTTTCCCATGTGGGTCTAGGTACTGACCTCAGCATCAGGCTTGGTGGCTGGTGTCTTTACCACTTAAGCCATCTTGTCCACCCAATCACACCCCCTTGAGACTCTTGGGCTCCTCACCTAGAGTCTTATTTCTGAATGGGACTTGTCCTGGCATTGTGCCCATGGTTACTTATTACAATCACCTTTTTGCCTGAGGGGCACGTGTCGGGGTCCAGCCCTGATCTGTTGAAGGGTCCTTGAAGTGGGGAGTAAAGAATTGAGAAATGCTAGATAGGAAAAAATATAGATGTAGATGAAGAAAAAGATAGAGACACAGGATAGCTTTGGGAGGGCTCTGGGTCAATACCCAGTCTCCTTGAGTTTATTCCTAATGGGCTTTTTATACACTAGCAAGGGGAGGGGCAAAAGACCTCCTCCTTTCAAGATCAAAGTACACAGTACAACCAAGTGTAGACACTTTCTTAATTCTCTAAACACCTGGTAAACACGCCTTACAGCGAAGCATCTTGTAATTAGGCCTTGAAGCATAAGACACCTGGCCAAAATATCCTATTATGCAGCCTTGGAGAGCAACATAAACTCTCTGATCTTGAGTCAAAATAGAAACAAACCATAAGTTGGAGTCTTTGTTGGCTCCTACAGGCAGGGACTTTTAATCTGTTTACATCACTGCCCTCTGTCCAGCCCTAAGAACTGTGCCAACATATAGAAGCTGTAGGAAGTAAGTTGAACAGATGGTTATGAGCCTTTGACTTTATTTATTTTTTTTTTGTGGGGGGGTGGGGGGGTCTCACTGTGTAGCCCTACCTGACCTGGAACTAGGTTTGTAGACCAGGCTGACTTTGAATTCACAGGGATCTCTTGCCTCTGCCTCCCCAATACTAGGATTAAATGCCACCAAGGCTGGCTGGCTATGAGCCTTCCAGAGCAGTAAGTGGGTTAGGGTCTCTCTACATATCCCAGGTTGGCCTTAAGTCCACAGATACTGCCTCCCTTTGCCTCTCTCGTGTTGTGATTAAAGGTGGGTGTCACCATGCCCAGTCTCTTTTTAGAAAAAATTTCCAGAAGTCCAGTGTGGTAGCTCATGCCTGTGAAATTCCTGCATCTGGGAGGCTGAGGCCAGAGGGTCCTTGGAAGTTTAGGGCCATCTTAGGCTACACAGTGAGTTCTAGGACAGTTTGAGCTACAGAGTAAGCCTCTATCGCAATACCCCACTGCACTCCTAAAACAAAACAAAACAAAACAAAACAAAAAAAATAGAGAAAAAGTTTGCAGAAAGTGGTAAAGACAAGAACACAAGAGTTGAGGTTGAGTGTTGTAAGGCCGGGCTCCACTGTCCTCCGCATTGACGGCTTCCACCTTCTCCATACATGGAAAGGGATGTTGGGGCTGAAGAGATGAAGTGGTTAAGAGTCCTTGCTACTGTATTGTGAGGACTGAAGCTCTGATTCTAGCACCCATATCAGGCAGATCATGAATGCTTGTAACTCCAGCTCCAAGGGTCTGACACCCTGTCCCGGGCACCTTCACACACACACACACGTGCACATATCCACACAAACACACACACACATATTGGAGCGTCATCTTCCCTTCCCTTCCCCCACTTTCCCCTGTTCTTCCCAGGCCTTCCTCTCTCTTCCCCTCCTGCCTGTCTTACCAGCTCCAGTGTGCCCAACATCCCCCCTCCATCCAGGCCCCACCTGCTAATAGCCAGTGGAGCTATGCACTCACCAGGGGACTCATTCATCCTTGTAGCGGGCACACTTGTGATCCAGTCGGCTCTCCGTAGTGCCAACAGCTGAGAACCAAGACTTCTACACACATTTGGGACCATCTTCTATCTCAGCCACAACGGGGGCATTTCATTAATGCTGCACAGAGAGAAACCTGAGGGCATGGAGGCAGCCAGAAGGAAGCAAGTGGAGGAAGTACAGGAATAGCCATTTCTTCCATCACCAGACCCTGTCACAGTGGGAGGCGAAGAAGGCAGATTTGTTTGGAGTTGTTCAGAAACAAACAAGCAGCATTTCCGACAGAAAGACGCAGAAGGAGGACGCAGAAGAATCCCAACTCGCAGAGGGCAAGGTGTGCTCCATTGAAGGGTCATCGGTCTGGGCAGTGAAGTCCTAGCTGACCTGCTATTGTGGGGTATCTGCCAGGGAAGACTTCTCAGACACAAGTTTAAGCCTTTATTAGCTGCCTGGTGACTAACTGGGTATATTCGGGAGCCCAGTATGGCACTGTCTTAGTTGGAGTTTCTATTGCTGTGAAGAGACACCATGATCTGGGCAACGCTTACAAAGGAAAGCCTTTAATTGGGAGCCTGCTTACAGTTCAGAGCTTTAGCCCATTGTCATAAAGATAGGCAGGAAGCATGGCAGCACGCAGGGAGGAATGGTGCTGGAGAGGTAGCTGAGGGTTCTCCATCAGTGTCCGAGGGCAGCAAGAAGAGACAGTGGGCCCCTAGGCCTGGCGTGAGCTCCTGAAACCTCAAAGCCCTCCCCTAGTGACACACTTCCTCCAACAAGGCCACACCTACTCCAAGAAGGCCACACCTCCTAATTGTGCCACTCCCTATGAGCCCCTGGGGACCATTTTCCTTCAGCCACCACAAGCACCAAGTCTTTCTCAGGATGAGCTTTTAAGCACGAAAACCATGTTCTGGGTGGACATACTTCAGTTATCAAGGACAGTTAGCCAGAAGCAGAACTATGTAAGCCAAAAAATCAAGGTTAGCTGTTAGTTTTATGCGGCACTGTGTTATTCATCAAGCAGCGCTGTTTGCTGTGCGAGAAAAGCCACGAGGCACAACGAAAGCCACGGTAAGAGTTTATTAAGGAAAGATGTGCTTAGGCCTATGGAGATTGTACAGGGAGAGAGAGGGAGAAGAGAAAGAGGAGGGGGAGGAGTCTGTGACCCGCTTTTTATGGATTCCCCACACACACACATACATATGGGCTTACGGAGATATTCCACGCATGCACATAGATTGCATGGTCACGCTGTGTGAAAATTAAGCAACCATGCAACGCATGAATTCCATAGGATGTAAGGGATGACTAAGTCTCTTGCTTGGCTACTGAACTGGGCATGTGCAGTCATGTAGCAACATTAATACATTTAGAGACTTTCCTAGAACTATGTATTTTGATGGATTAGGTCTTTGTTTTTATTTTGGCAGGTCTATGCCCTGAGTTTATTTATTGGCTTAAATCTGTGTGTGAGCAGTCTTCTCTGGTGGTGTTATGCCCAAATTGCAGGGGCCCCCCAAAAGGCCACCACGGAGAGCGAATCCCGTATGTAAAAGCAAAGAGCCTTTATTTTCAAGCTCAGAGCTTGGACTCTCTGTCTGTCTGACACAGCAGTGAGAACAGAGAGCCCAGAGCCTAGGCAGGGTGATGTTTTTATCATAGCAGAGGTTGGGGTGAGGGGATTCCCAGGGTTCAGGACCCTGATTAGCTGACATTTGTCTCGGGGTATAGGGAATGTTTGGAAGTTCCTCTTAGGTGCAGGCCCCACTGGGTGGGATTAGCTTATGGCTCTTCCTGGGTCCAGGTGTTGCCTGCCAGAAGCTGTGTCTGGACCTCTAAGCTGGTCATGGCAGCTGTGTGGTCAAGGTGTTTTGGGGACCCCCCCACAGTGGATACCCCACAACATTTCTGGAGGTCTCACCCATATCCTCAGAGACCAGACTTCAAGATACCATAGATCACAGAGCCCCTCAGAGTGAGGAAGAACCAAGGAGCTCCTAGGAGGTGCTTAACCTGAGATGTCCCAGGTCCCCAGGGGTCCCTCTGATCAATTGCTGTCTAATGGGGCTTTGGAGGGGCCTGACACCTCCACCCCCAAAAGGAAGCAAATTAGAAAGTTGCCTGGTCTGTCATCTCCTGAGGTAAGTCTGGTTAAGGTGCCTTCTGTTTGGACACACAAGAGAGGCCAGGCATGGCCTTTTATCAAGTGTCTGGGGTGAGCGTCAGATGTCACTGGATCCCACCTGTCTGTTTCAGGTGTATGAATGTGTGGTGGCCAACCTTGGTTGCCTTGACTGTGGGTCTTTTCATGAGTTTCTGTCAGCTCCATTTTCCTACATTGAGCAATGGCTTTGTCTGGTGTGAGACCCCTCAGCCTTAAGATCTGTGCCTCTTGTTGGCTGAATCCTTTGGGCTTTGCCAGGTCACCCAGAGGAACCAAAAATTCCTCCACCTGTCCCATTCTGGGACGCATGCTGGTTTCATCACTGGACTCCTGCGCATGGTCCTGGTAGGTCCTGGTCCCTGTGTGGAGGTGGCGAGGGGCCAGACCTCTCATCATCCAGGCTCCCCTGACTTTTATGTACAATGCACACAGAGAGAGGCAAACAGTTCCCCAAACCTTTTCATCTGTGTGTCCATGAAACAACATGACAAAAAGGGTTTTAACCCCAACTTTGGGGTCAGGGAAATGGCCTATAACATACCTGTCCAAACAACTGGACCCATAGCCACAGCATGGTCTACCTATGTAAGAGCCGGGGCAGCTAACTGCTAACCTAATGAAACACAACAACAAAACAAGCTGGTTCTGGGTCAAGATCTTATCCTTACAGCACCCCACGCTGCTGAGGTCTTCCTTTGAGGAACACCAGAACTCTGGCTGTCTAATGCCTGTACGACCCAGCACCAGTCCCTGCTCCTGGACCACCCTTGAGTCCTGTTGAGAAACCCACTGTCATCAGTCCAGTTGCCTGTTGTTTTCCTGCTGGCACAGAGGCTGCATCTGAACCTACTGCTGGTTCAGCCAGTTACTGGCCCACTTCTCAGGAAGTGCTCGGTGGGACTTCTACATCCCGCCAGACCAGTCTCTTGCCACTGCCACCAAATGTCGTTTTTAACTAGATCTCTATTATCCTATTTACCAATCGGGACTCAGGAGTCAGAGGCTGGGGTGAAAACCTGTTAGCTCAGAGAGGTTGAGGAGCAACTAGCTGACCTTCCCTCTTTGTGGGTGTTTCAGAAAGAGTGTCCCTTCAAAAAAGACCACCACACTCAAAGTCCCTCCCTACGACTTCCTGTGAGTCTCTCTATCTGTTCTCTGAACTCCCTCTGAATCTCCATGATTACTTTCTATTAACTAGTTGCTGGCTCTGCCTCTTGACCCAAGGTTGATCATATACCCTGTAACAGTCACCCTCTTGTCTACCGAGGACCCATAGGTGCTCATCCATGACTACCACAAGATGAAGGAGGAAACCAGATATGTGAGAGCTACGGTAGTTACTTTAACTGAAGCAATTTGGGCCCAAGCACGTACCCCAGCCCAGAGAGCAGAACTGACCAATCTGACCCAGGCTTTCAGATTGGGAAAAGAAAAGTCCAGCACCTTATACATGGACAGTCACTATGCTTTTACTACTGCACATGCCCATGGTATGAATGATAGAGAAAGAGGACCTCTCATCACCGGGGGGAACAGACATTAAAAACACAGAGAAAACCTTCGCCCTCCTAGAGGCTATTTGGCTTCCCTATAAATTGCTGTCTTCTACTGCTCCACTTGGAGGACATAGAAATGATGATTCCCCTGAGGGAAGAGGTAAGTGGGACACTGACCTGATGCCTACAAAAGGCCCTAAGACCAGTGGGGCCTGTTGATATTCTGAGGATATCAGAGCCAGTATTGCCTGAGACTCCATGGTACAACCAAGAAGAAATAGGAATGCAGAAAGGTTGGTGGAGGACACCGGAGGGAAAGATCATTCTCCCGGAAACATTCTCCCAGGACTCTGGTAACTGACCTTCACCTGGGTACTCATCTGCAGTTCACAAATGTTCTGAGTTGCTCAGACCAAGGTATGTTATTCCTAGACTGGACAGCCTGGCAGATGGAGTTGTGAAACTGCGGCTTCCAGGAAAATTCCTTAAGAAATATTCTGGCCTTCGGGAAACAGGGAGAATCTGGAGACTCAGACTCTATGCCACAGGAAGGTACCCTAGGGATAGATTCAAACCAGTCCTTGAGGTCCCCAGACCTTTGGATCCTAACAAAGATCTCTTACCCGTGCCAAGGCCCCAACCAACTCTCCCCTCCTAACACACCCAGGGCCGGAGTCCCGCCTCCCACTGTCTAGGAAGCTAAGGGATGCCCATCTCTGTTTTCTACCCTGGACAAGGTCCACTGCTCAGTTAACCATTCCCAGACAGAAACTGGCCAGAATTGCTGGTATTCTTAGACCTCCAATCCCCATACTAGGTAGGAATAGGAGCTAACCAGACTGTCAGTCATTGACTGACAAAACTCACCATGACTTGTGGGAAGGGCAGTCGAAATTAACATTAGAGGACTTACAAGGTGCTGAAGCTTGTCTAATACTCAGCATCTTTAGCCTAGGCACTTCCCCTTATTCTGATGCCTGCTGTTGTGCCTTGTGGGTTAACTCAGCTGTACAAGAGCAGTATTACCGGGCCTCTGAGACTACTTGATGGGCACATGTTAATAGATTAACTAAATGTGTGTCTTTTAATGCTTTCCAAACTGAGAAACTCCTTTTATGCACCTCAGTACACATTCTGCACCTATATAATGGGAAAGAAGAAAAATAAACATTTCAGTATAGACCCTGGACTATAAAAAAAAAAAAAGAGCTGTTCCTGTTCTTATTGCATTCCTGGTTGGAGCTGGCAACAGCCATGGACACACTAGCCTTTATCATGGGAGATGCAAACTTTGGAAGCTAAGTAGGCAGGTTGATTGGGACATAGAGGTATTTAAAAGTTTCCATTTCTGAATTAAAACAAGTTAGATTTCCTCACAGAAATGATCCTACAAAATTAGAGAGACTTAGAATTACTTCTCATA